CAAGTGAATGAAGCTACTGAGCTGTGTTTACTTTTCTCCTCAGTGGTGACGAGGTTGACGACCATCTTGAACACAAATTTTGTTGGGATGAGAAGAGGTGTGATTCCTCATCAATGCAGCTAAGCTGGCAGAAATCTGTATGGAGGTGTAGTCCAAATAATGTTTTTGGAAGTCATTAAAACCCGATTTTTACACATAGACACACAGAACTTTGAAAATGGGGCTTTTGCCTTCTAGCCTGATTCTTCACTGCCTTACATTTTCAGAGTCATTGACCCTTTTCCAACTGGCTGTAGACTCCTATCAAGTCTGAACTGAGTTAGAAAAGTAAGTATTTTATTTTTTTTGAGTGTTTAAGTATAGCTAGGTGGATCTAGTGAAGAGTCTAATGCTACATTCAGTGTGGTCCTTGCATTCAAGATTTTTAACTCTCCTTACAAGATGCAGCTTTACCTGCATAGCTGCGTCTTTCTCTAGACCTTTAGCATGTTTAAGAGAGTTTTATTTGTGTAGGCATAAATAAAGCATTCTTTGTTTAAAAGGTGTATAAGGAGAATTTCACTTTGTACCAGCATAATAAAAATACACTACAATCACTCCAAACAAAGCATGAGAAACTGGAAAAAGGAGAATCTTATTGATAAAAGTGTAGTGGGCTTAGCCTTGCATTACTTTGCAACACACCTGTGAATAAATTCTATTGTTGTTTTACTATAGTTTTTACGTTGCTATTGTACAAAACATGCTTTTGCAGACAGATGAAAGACCTGAGATTAGACTAAATGGAATCTCTGCTCACGTAATGAACACTGATAAAACTGATATTAGTAGTTTAGTACTTCTAAGGTAGCCAGTATGGGAAGGAAGCATTTGCAGGACCAGATGATGCAGGGCTACCATACTACAGAGCATTTGCAGAAGGCAGAAAATGGAATTAATAGTGTTGTGGTTTTTTATTTTCTCCAAAATGCCCTCTAGTGATGTTTGAACTTTTAGTAGGCTTATAGTAAAGTTAGCTCATTTTGTTAAAAATAATTTTGCATTTCGTAAAAGTTTATCTCACTATAAATTAAGATTTCCTAGTTAATTTTAGTTTGTGTGTTTCTTATTTCTTTGCCAACCTAATCACATTCTTTCCACACAAAATGAAGAAAAAAGCTTTTTTAACTTCGAAATACTTTTTAAGTAAATAGCCATGAAACCTTTTACTTATATTAAAACTCAGGATAAAAACATTCTGGGTTTTTGTTGCAACAAAGCAGCAGTATCTCCTTGCTCACACCTAGTAAGATAGTGTTTCATAAAGATTTGTATGTGATTATTTCTGAAATTGTTAACTATTTAAAATGCAAATGAACTATTATTTGTGTAGCTTGGTTCTACAAATTATTATTTTTTTCCCTGTGTTAAAAATAGGGATCATACCTCATTTGAGTGCATACAACCCCTATTTTTTAAAGTAAAATTCTTCAAAGTAGTGAGAGTGAAGTCTAAAATTGTCTATAAAAATAAATTCATTAGATATTTTAAAATCTCTTGAAGTGCCAAAAAAGCTTTCCAGAAACCAGTGATTACACTGCAAATGTGCCACAGAGGGGAACTGTTAACAAGTGTGCCTTTGCCAATGGTAGGAAGATTGCCAACATCTAATTGGCTTTAAAGTTTTGTTCTATCAATGGTGTATTGTATCTTAAAAGCAGTAATGCCAAGCTTATGATTTAGGCATGAAACGGGTCCTCAAAATATATGACTGATTATGGCAGGAAGGAACTATTTTCTTCTGGAAAACTTGCTAGCCTACTTGTTGCTCTAGTGTAAGAGTTCATTTTGTACAGTACAGCAAAAAGAATGGCATAAAAATTATATACGAGAGTGACAAGTAGTAAACATGTAACTGGTATGTATCTGTTTTCATTGGTAGAACTTGTAGAGCTTTATAAAAAAGGGTATAGATGTCATTATAAGAACTGATCTTTCAGCTGCCAAACCCATTTAAGTCCTTGTTACTCCCCAAACCTGTACCTGGAGGCCTGTCCAGTCCAATTGCTTTATGACAGCTTTCTATACTGGATCTGTGAAATGAGCAGGATTTTGCTTTTGCTTTTGCTCCAGCTGCTTATCACCATTTTTGCACTACAGTTTACAGCCCTCTCAGGTATGCCAATATAACTGTTGTTAACACACAACCTTTCACTCATCTGTTGTACACTTGGCCCCAACAAATGCTTGCACCAGCACACACTGATCCTCACTCTGGAGCAACTGAATGGGCCAAGCTAGAATGAATGAATGAGACAGAAAGCTCTTAAATTGGCTCCTAAACTACTGGGTATTGGTAATATAAACTGAAATTCTTGGTCATGGGAAGACTAATGAAGTTCCCGGTATCATGAAACATGTCAGTGACAGAAAAGGGAAAGAAAATGCAACTTTCTTAACTCTCATTATCCTATAACCTGTCATACCCATTACCATTATTACCATGTTGATTAAGCCACATTGCCTTGCTATTATGAACTCATAGTTACTGTGTCATCTTGCTTTGTAGACTGGTGCTGGCACATCTCTGCAGGATCTGAGAAATGTGGAGAAAAAGGTACAGTACCTTTGTACCGCATGGTCCTGTATCCCAGCTTGTTAGATCAACAAAAACTTATGTATATTTACTTACACCGTTACCCAATGAAAGCTTAGTGACATTGTAAATCTAAACCTTGGTGTTTGCGTGACTGAGATTTACTTTCTTACGGTGCAAGAAATACGTGTAGACCTCAGGTGCACTCCTTAACATTTGTGACATTAGAACATGGATGTTAAAATATGAGAACTTGTCAGAGCCCTCATAACAGAAAGCAGCTGCTATTGATGTAGCGTAGTACACCAATAGTAGTTTTCTATCTGTTGTTACATTGTGCCCACTAAGTTCCAGGATACGTAAACAAACAAGTAAATAAACAGAAAATAGCATAAGGAAGCCTACTCTTTTTATTCTTAGTGTTGAAAATGTGGCCATCTTACTTTACTTTCAAGGACTCACATAAAAAGACAAAACAAAGAACTAAAAATCCCCCTAAAAATACAGACTATTTATAGTATATTTTTGTAAATTTTGCATTTTCTTAGATTTAAGGAATTGTTTTCTCCATAATAAGGAACCTCTGAAAGCAAAGGGAAATACATGCACTATTTCATATTATGCCAAGGGTATTAGAGCCTGCCCCTGACTTTAACTCTATGGATGCAGGATAAGTACATTTGATCAGTTTTTAAAACAAAATTTCATTACTTTAAGGAGATCTCCTTTTCAGGACATGGAGTTTTGTAATCTGGGTTGATAACTAAGCACAATTTTCACTGAATTTAGCAAGAGTCACTGGCATACATTACCTTTAAAGTGGGACCCTCACTGCAGAGTAATATTTAAATTCAACATTAACACTACTTAGTTGTAGCCAAAAGAAACTACAGTGGATGCAACAGCACATTTGAGACTTGATTCAAAATGAACTGGCAGCCAAGCCTGCAGTGTTTTATTCCTCCTTCTAACCTTACATCTTGCATTGGTTGCCTTTACTTCTCTGCATTGGAGAGCTTTCATAATGTTTGTAAAATGCAATATAAGTGCAGTGGAGCTGCTCAGGAATCCCTGAGCTGCAAATAGCTGGAGGTGGGAGAGCATTCCAGAGAAATATCCCTGCATATTTCCTCTCTGACTGGTCACTGCTGGAGACAGACTACTGGGCTAGAGGGACCTTGAGTCCAACATAATATGACATTCTTCACACTTGTAAATATACAAGTTGGGATTCTCAGGGCAGCATTGATTTCCTAGCTGTGTGCCCTTCACTAGATAACTAACTGGAATGTATAAGCAGCAACGCAAGCGGTTATTTTTGCCTACAGAAAAAAACCCCTTCTGTAACCTGAACTGCTTGCTTTCTTTCTGAACTGTCTGATAAATTCTGCAGCAGGATGTAATTTAGTAACCAACCATGAACTGAATATGTGTGATATTCTGAATATTGCATATACTTAAGGGGAAGCAGCTTCTCTGGGAATGTAGTGCCCTGGGGGAACATAGAAGCTTTGTTTTGGTATGAACTGTTTGTTTTGTCAGAAGCATTTGTACTGTAGTTTGGAAAGTGGTCGCATCTCACTGGGACATCAGGTGAATGTTAGCAAGGGCAGGTTACCACAGGGTACCAGTGCATTTGTATTTGTACTAATTGATACCAATTTCAGTTAAGCACTAGAGTTTTTGCCCTCTCTTTAGTCCTGATAAATTCCATTAAGATGTTTAGGCTAGACTGTGCTGACTGGGTTTCTTAGAAGAGCTGAAAAGATTCAAATACCTATTTCCCAGAAGAATTCAATCATCTTTAAGTTCTCTTCAAAATCCCATCAAAGTAAAATGCAATATAGATACTTTATCTAGATGAATTTCATTGGAAAATGGTGTGGAGAACAAGTGCTTTTAATCTAAATGGAATGTTTTGCAGTTCTGGTTATAAGGAAATTCAATCACTACTATCTTTTACAAATAATTTATGTTGTCTGTGGGTGACTGCATACAGGTGGCACCATGAACAATATAGACCAGTTCCATTTGGAGAACTCACACAAAAAAATTCAAAGTTTAAGGACCTGCATAGCATCCCATAGCAATTTGGGGTTGATTTCATTTTTGTGCTTTAGCTGAAAAATATGTTTCGGATTATTTACGGGATTTAGAATCTGTTGATGTTTGTGTACAGTACCTTACTTTTACATGCTTGTTTCACATGACATAGAAATGCAGAGGAGGATGACTTTGGTTCAGATTTAGATGAACAGCTTTTGGAAAAGCAGCTGAAGAAGGAAATAAATTCCAAAAGAAATATTGCTACATATGATAAATATGTGGTATCAGTCATGGTCATTTTATTTTGACTTCTACCTGCAATGCACTACATATAGAACATACTGATCAGTATGGGAATTGCATAAAACAGTCACTCAATGCCCTTCTGCCAGTTACAGGGTACTGACTTAGGAAAAGAAGATGAACGTGGTAGGGCAACATGGAAAAGCAGTGTGGAAAAGCTTTCCACATTGATTTCAAACTTCAGGTGTCTGAGTAAGGATGAGGTAATTGCCACCCAGGAAAAGGTGCATGCTTATAAAACACAGAAAAAAATAGTTACATTTTCCCCAACCAACCTATGCATGTCAGTCTAAAAGCATCAACCTTACATTACTCTGATAGAATCCTAACTAACATGTCGTGGTTTGGGCTGGATCCTTATGATATAGAAAGAGGAATCCCGGCACTAACTCAGGCCTTGGGTTTTCCTACACAAAAGTGTAAAGCACATAATTGCTTCAGAAACATTTTCTTTGTGTGGCATGCTCCTGAGCAAGACTTGGCTTTGCCAAAATGGGTGGTGATCTTGCTTCTATTGACATTCTTAGGATTTTTTTCCTCATTTTAGAGGAAGCAACACAAGGTCACCAGAGGAGTACGGTGTATTAGGGGATATTCCTCATCACTGGTTTACGAGAAGAATTAGTACCCAGGAACATAACCTACTGCAAATCAAGAGAGCAATTAATTAACTTTTGACAAAGAGACGTGGATACTTAAGTAATATAATTAAACAGAAAAGAACCAGCTTTCATTTTGTGTACTTGGTTGCAAAATTTGCACTCAATTTTACATGTTTTGTGTGTGCAATTAATAGTAAATTTAATTCCTTTGGAATTTTAGCTATATAGAGCATATAAGAAACAACTTTATGTGCAAAAGGGCAGAGAAGTCTTTTACAAGAAGAGCACGCAAATCAATGTGGATCAACATATCTCTTCTATTCCACACAAAGACAAAACTACTGCCATTATTGTGGTCTTGTATTGTCTATATTCCAGCATATAGACTGTCTTGCCCATCGAAAGATTTTTGAAAGGAATTTGTAATAAAAAGGTTTGGAATCTATACCGACATGAGGCAATTATTTTAACAAATCTCCATTCTGCCGTATTGAAAATTTAAGACGACTTAAACTTTACGGAACATTTAAGAGTTCTAAATACAAACCATATATTTCATTTAAGTCTAGCAGTATAATTTCACCATGTAGCACACATACCGGTGGAATAGCTTGTTTATTATTAAATTTGTTTAAAATCTCTATTATTTATTCCCTAATTTTTATAGGTTACTTTTAAGTAGCAGCACTTAAGAAAAATAATAGTCAGCTGCAGTGAAATTTGCAGAAGAAACTGTCAGATAACAATACTTTTTAGAAGGAATATGCTGCTTGTTCATAAAGAAATGATCCAGGCCTTATCTGGGCTGTGCTACAAATTCCAGTACAGCAGAGTCATTAGGGTGTTGGTCACCAAAACGATAGGATCATTTGGTAAAGGTCAGCATTACAGTGTCAGAGCTCTACCAAAAAGAAAAAAAAAAAGGGAGAGATGCAATAATTTACTTTTCTAAAATAAGAAAAGGCAAAGCTTTTATTAATGTACAAATTACTGAAGTTAAAAAGTAATTTGATTTTTGTTGCCTCAGCTGGGAGATAAATTAAGAGCACACATTACACAGAGAGATGTTTATTACACTAAAAGTAACCAGTTAAATCTATTTGAGAAATACATTTAAGAGTCTCCCCTTAAAACACACAGTACCAAACTAAAACTTGGCTATGATTTAACACCCACTACTACTACTACTACTACAACAATTAATAAATTAAAAAAAAAATAATACTGCCGCTAATAAAAAATTAACTTACTGTGGACACCTTGAATATAACTAAATATAACTAAATATAATTGAAATACAAATCTGGTCTGTTGTGCCTGTCTTTTGATGTCTGACAACTTCTAGGAAAAGATACAGCAGAAAAACCATGACAAGCTTCCAAAATCCAGAGTTGTTGATTTAGAAAAACTAGAGTTTTCAAAGTCAGACTTCCTCATTATTATTTTTTCTGTAAAACTGACATAGTATGCCTACCCATCAACAAACTGAAGCTTTGATTTGCAAATAAGATGGAATAAAAAATATTTTCCATGGATGATCTGTTTGAAAGAAAAATACTTTTTGAATGTGGCTATTTTTCCCCCCTCAATAACACATTATCTTCATTGAACATGAAATCAAACTTTGGTTTGTTACTATTAAAAATGAACATAAATGTATCATTATCACTAAAATAATATAATCCTATTATCATTTTATTAGATAAGCAGTGACAATGTTGTGTTTGTAATAGCCTCTGGAGATACAATAAATCTAGCAAGGGAATGTCAGCCTGGTCCAAGACAGATTAAATGTAGAGAACTGGAATATAGTTCCCAGTAAACAAACACTTTGAGGTCAGGAGGTCGTACTTGCTCAGCTGTTCTTCATAAGCCCTATTGGAAATAACTTTCATACCATCACTGAGTATATTTCATGCTACCTAATAATACTGAGGGCCAAGTACAGTTGTGGTATAAATGATTTCTAAGTGAAATATTGAGTGCAAAATGATCAAAAAGGAATATGGAAATGGCAAATCAGAATGATGCTAGACATCCAATGGGTGCAATTCATAAGATCTGCTCTTCTGTAGGGGAAAAAATTCATCCCACTTGGAAGCTTGTGCAAATTCCCATTGACAAATTAGCTGATTTGGCCCCAGCAGCCCTGTGATTAATACAACAAAAACTAAGGCTAACTATATTTGAATTTAGAAGAGGACTAGGAAGAATATTCAGCCCATGAACTCTCCCTTGGTGGTTGACTAATTGCAGCAGAATGGGGACTGCAAGTCAACAAAGGTCTGGGAAGGAAAGAGAGAACTACAGATTGAATTTGCTTTTGGCATCTCTTCTAACAGGGAGAAGAATGCCTGGATTCTGGGAATGCTAAAATAAATATATATATCAATGTGCAGTTTATTATGGGTAAAGTTCTCAAAAACTGTTAAGATAACTTGGTGTTTTTCAGACTCGTACACCTCTATCTCCCAGTTTTAAGGATATGCTGCACTACTTTCCAGCAGTATTAGATATTGTTGACAAGCTCAGTTGGGTCTCAGTGGCAGCATTTAAGCAGGGAGTTTCATAAAGCCTTAAGAAGTCTCCTTCAGCACAAACATAGTATATTCAAAATATGCAGATATACAGACCAAGTGCTGCCCACTGACATATCCCCGAAAAGATAACTGCAATACACACTGTAAAAAACAGATTCTAACCATGGTGTTTGTGTACAAAACACTTATTACAGGCCAACCAATCCTTTAAAAATATTCCTTGTACAAGGAAATTAATTTGTGGAAATAAGAAAAGGTATGAAATATTAAAAAAAAAAAGATAGGATATGTGTGGTAAAAATACAATTTGCATTTCTAGGTGGTTCTGATCAAATAAAATCAGAAAGGCTGCATTATTTTCTGTATGTAAGTTTGCACAGCAAATCCAGCATACTCTATACAATTTTAATAGACACAATAAAATATCAAATAATCAGGGGGATGAATTAAAGACAAATTTTAATTTTAGCACTGTGCTTCCTAGTAATTGATTTGTACATAATTTATGTAACAACATGGCAATTATTTTTTTTCATAGAAAAAGAACCCCCAATGCTGGACTTCAGAACTCAAGCAGTAGGAGAAGGTGAGTACCTGGACTCAAGACCTGATGACTGCAAAGTTTTCTATACAAATTGCAATGCAAGAGGTTCAGACCCATCTCCAAACTAAATGTGGGGCTGTGGGGAAAAGAGCACGAGTTGCTCTCTGTCTCTACGTCCCAGGCCAGGCACAGCCTCTCACAAGTGTGCTGTGTGACACAACACCATTTCTCCTTGGTGCTGGGTCAAACATGAGCATGAGCTCCTGCATCAGTCGGGTGGTACCGGCCGTGGCAGGGGGTTGTGGAGCAGCACCAAGCTCCCCAGTTTGAGCACATGATGTGACAGAGGCAGCTGCTCAGGAAGCCAAGGAGCGAGAAAAACTAGTAAAGCACTGGAGACACGCAAACGGCTAGAGCCAGGATAGGGGAGCAGGAGACAGCACTGGTATAAGGACTCAGACATCTTTAGATCCTTTGAGAAAAATACATACCATTATGAGGAAATAGGAAAGCTGCCAAGCTTCATGCAGATACAGTATACAGACACTTCTGTGCTCTGTCAGCAGTGGCAGCCGGTGCTGAGGGGGACCCAGAAGGGGATACAAGAAAACATGCTGTAGGTAGCTATGGAAAGTGTCTTTCTACTTTCAGTCCTTCAGGGTTAAACGCTGTGCCCTGAGGTACAAGAACTTTGAAATCTCATTGCTTGTTTGTTTCCTGCCACATGTAGTTTTCCTGCCTCTGAAAACAAAATGTTGGTCATTTGGGAGCTTCCTATTACTTTCAGATAGCAAAGATAAAAGGCTGGGAGAAACAGTAAATCTACCAAAACATACAAAACAAAAGGTATTTACCTGTTGTATATCTGCTAAGATTTAAGTGACACCTACTCAGTGGTCATTTACATGCAGTTCTGTGTATGCCAGTAAGAGGTATGCTAGAAGGGAAAAAAAAACACCCTTACAAACATCATAAATAAGAAATGAAACACTCCCCCAGACCTGGGTCTCCAGTGCACATATATTAATTACACACCAGAGAGTAAAGCCTCAGTATGTGCAAGCATTTAACTCATTATTTGCATTTATTAAAAACATTCCTTTTCACTTTAACAATACAGTAACCCAACAGTGAAATAACAGCAATTCAAATGCACTCATTTACAGACATGCGGTTTCTTGTGCCCATTGTACCGTGCAGCGCTGCCAAGTCTCACACCTTAGGAGTAAGCTCTTGCTCTCTCCTCTCCCTGTCACACCCGTACACGCACACACATACAAAATTTACATGTCTGCTCTCACCTATACTCTTTTGGGAAAACCCACAAATTTCATCAATCTCACTCATACAGATTTAAAAATCCTGGCAGCTTTTGAATAGCTTTTCTTCATCAGCTGCAATTAAGTGTTGGAAAAGAAATCCAAAATATACAGAGAGAGGCTTTCTCCTTAATAGGAAATGTTAGCAATAGTATGTGATTTCTAATATGTTCCAAAGTTTTGCCACACCATCTTACTGGAAGGCAATGTCTGCATGCCCTGTGATTAGATTTCCTTAAACGCTGCGCAATTCAGTGTTGTCAGCCATAATATAAAACATTATTTATAACTATTTAACTGTTTTAAGAGTATAGTTAATAGCTTTCTGTAACATGATCTTAAAGAAGTTGATTAAGTGTGCTTTACAACGTGACCAGAAAGAGCTTCCGATTAGTGACATTGATATATATTTTTTACATCTCTCATGGCCCATACTTTTAAAGGTTGGGAGTGTTGAAATAGGAGTCAAACCAAAATGAAATCAAATCATTAGAACCGGAGCGTTTCCTTACCACACTTCATCAATATCATCATGTCACAGCAATAGATTGAATATCCAAAACATAAAGTACCTTTCTCTGGTAATAAAAACTAGAAATATACAATTTTTCTGTCATTCGTACAAAGCAAAGATGGGCCTCAGGGGAAGAATTCAGGGTTGGATCCAAAACTCATCATGGCTTTGGTTCAGGCTGTAACACAGAAAGTAAACAGAAAAAATGTTTGTTAGGCTCTGGATCTGAATAAAAGTTCAAATATACCCAAGGTTAAACAGATGTGACGGAGACCCATTTCTAATTTCAAGGCTATGAATTGCTAAAGGAGCTTGAAGGTTTAAAAAGATAGTGTAGTTACGAAAGTTGTAAATGTTTTCCAAACATGGTTGACTGTTCCCCAAGAGTCCGTAATTGCTCCACACTTCCTTCGGCAATTCCAGTTAGCTGCTTTGTTTTTATTCTTTGTTCATCTCATGCCCGTAGAGGGACTAGTCTCATCCTGGCAAAGAAAGTCTCAGTATAATTACAAAGCAGAGGAACTTTTATATCCCAGACTGAATTTCAAACTTCTTTTGAATCTAGTAATGTTCAAATCCAGTTACTGCATTCACATCCATTTTTACCTTATTTAACACTTCTATCAAACCCACAATCTTAACTTGCTGTTTTTTATTTGTCTTCATATTTATGCTTAAGCAACTGAGACACTAAGAAAAGGGCTCTGCCAGCTTTTTATTTCCAGATAAATACCCTGGTGAAAAGTTTTTTGACAACAAAATGAGACATACGTTCTTGGGCAATTGTATCTCTAGAGACAAAAAAAGAGAGAACTGATTTATTTTCAGCCTAGAGAAGAGAAGGCCACAGGGAGACCCTGTTGCTATTGACAGCCAGTTAAACAGAGGATATAGAAATGATGAAACCAAACTCTTTTCAGAGGTGCACAGTGAAAGGACAGGAGGCAAGAGACAAAATTGGAATGCGGGGATTTCCAATTTGATATACAGAAACTTTTTTACAATTAATGTTTTTAACCACTGGTATAGGTCCTTTAAGTGATGGTGGAACCGCCATCCTTGGAGACATTCAAAACATGGCCAGGCAAGGCCCTGAGCAACATGCTCTCCTTCGACCTGCTCCAGACATCTCTCCCAACCTCCACGGTTCTGATTCCATGACATATATAGGGAGAATTGCATCAAAAAGATACTTGACATTCACCATTTTTTTTTCTTTAAAAAACCCACTGAAATATTGGCCGATCACTGATTATACATGCTTAGAGTACAAGTTCTGGTATACATGAAAAGTCTACCGTTTGTTGTAAAATAGTGGCTTGAATGAAAACATTTTCCTGTTACTGAAATCATTGGGGTTGGAAAGGTGAAAATCAAGTCAGAAGGAGATGGTATGATTGCCATCATACTCATAATAAGCTTTTGAATTGAATTAGTGTATTAGTATTAAAGAGTCTCACAAAATGAGGGTTTCACTAGAAATCACTGATCAAACTTCTTTTTTATTTTACAATTTTAAACATTCTGCAGAGAATGTAGGCAAAAAATAGAAAAATAGTGAGGTTTTTTCCACCTCAGGAGCAAGTTTTCCCAAAGACGTATATCACATCGATGAATTTCAGGAGATACTAGAAGATTCAGATTCATTAAGGCACTCGACCATTAATTCTCAGTGCAAGTGCAAGTTTCACCAGTTCCAACCACATTTTTCTTGACCCAAATCTTTGTTTACACCAGCACAAGCACATTGAGTGTTGATCCTGGGATCACGGTGCTCAACTTGTCCGTTTGGCCAAAGTCCTTCATTTCCCAAAGGGGCAATAGCAAAATGAGAAAAGGCTCTGCGCCGTCTTTCTGTAGCATAGCTGTAAATTCTAGAGGGATAAGATTGGCATTTAAACTTAGGGTACAAATACATACAGGAGAACACTTATTAAACCATACATTTATTTCAATAAGAAATGTTATTGATTTGAATAATTGAATATTTTTAGACTTAGGTGGTTAAGATATAGAGTTTAAAAATACATTGTGGGTTTTTTTTCCCTGAAAATTGTGGATTTAAGCACAAGAAAAGATTATTCTTGATTTATTTGTCCTAATATTTACACTGTGACACATTACAATGTGACAACCAGCATATGTAGTTTGGTTTACCTATTACTTAATACTGAATTATGACTAAACTATAACTAACTCTTTTGACTGAATGAACGTTGATGAGCTAAGCATGGAAATACCTCAAGTTTCTTAAAAAACTCATCATTGGAGATCTTTTTTTTTTTAATGAGGGAAGAGGGTTTTTTTCCAGGCATTAACTGTAAAAATGATGCTAGCTGGCAAAGAAAATCTTTACTTCAAACTTCCCATTGTATTCCCATAAGCCAGCATTTTAAGGGTGCTAAATGAAAGCAAAACTTCATGTTAGTCTCACCAACGCTGATACTCCCCGGCTTGTGACTGTAAACCCTGAATTCTTCCCACGTCCCAGCCCACATGAGAACAGCGTCTTGTGACTCTTAGACAGCCCTTTATCAGGTCACACAGAGCAAAGAGCAGCGAGGAGAAGAAATGGAGGATAGAGATAAGAAGAAATAGGTCTCCCCACCTCCTTAGAAACATTCGTTGCTTTTCTGATTAACGTATTGGTTTCATTTCGCACTACAAAAATTGATCTGTGCTTAAAGGAGAGAGTGCAGCACACACGTACACTTCTTGTGTCTCTGTCGTGGTTTGGGCTGTCTGAAAAAACCCAGTCTGCTAAAATGATCCATTAGCACAGTGCAGGGAATGCATTGCTTTTCAGGGAAAATGGGATATATGGGTGATATAAGAGATCGTGTGTACTAATCAAAGGATTACTTAGTAATGTGCGATACACCTAAATATGTAAGATTGTTTTCAGAAACAAGAAGCACCAAACAGAAGCAAGTACAATGAATAAGCTTAATTACTTAAAAGGACAGTTTCTACGCTCTAGCTTAGTTTTCATTTCTCTTAGGACTGACCGTGAAAAAGCTGGTGAACTCATCAAAAATTCAAGTCAAAAATTCTAATAATTAATTCTATAATATTCTCTAATATTAATTCTAATATAATGTCTCCCCAGAATGCACACAAACCCACGTAAGAAACAGGAGCAGCAGAGAGGTCCAGGTGATCTCCAAGACGCCGTGGCAGCAGCCAGCCCTGGGTGCGCCGGGAGAAGCCCCACAAGCCAACCACCATTACTCATCCCTGCTCTTCGCTGCTCATCCCCGTTACTCAGGTAAGCCATCCGTGACTCCACTTAGGGTGAAAATCCAGCCGAGTCAGTGCATTTATGAGGTAACCTACTTTGATGGAGACCCGCCAAGCGCACGCAAGCAGATGGGTGCGTCAGGCTTTACAGTCACTCTTCTCTCACCCCTCCGTCAGCTTGGGAAGAGCTGTGAAGGCCGGGGGGTTAACGGTGGCCATTGACAAGGTACAAGGAAGCGGGACGGAGGGGGGAGACGATTAAATTAGGGTAAGTGGGGCTTTACGGAGTAACGCTGTAGTAACACATGTGGGGGGAGGGAGGGAACTGCGCTAGGGGGCAGGTGCATTTTATGGAGGTAGCAACCACCCTGCCCTACACGCACCGGGACCACCGCCCCGCTCTCCCCCGCTGAGGGAGGGAGAGAGGGGGCGAAGGCCCGAGGGGCGTCAGGCGGGACGGGACGGCCCTGCCCGGACCCCCAGCCCCGCTCCGCCGCCGGCTCCGGCCGGTTCCCCGCCCCTTCGCGGGCAGGGCCGTGGCTGGAAGTGACGCGGGCGGGCGGGGCTGCCAGGCGCTGATGGCGGAGGCCCCGTGTTGATGTCCCCGGCGCCCTCCGCGCCGGTCTCGGTAAGGGCCCTCGCGGGTCTGCCTCGAGGGGGGACGGACGGGCGGGTCTGACACCTTCTTTTCCTACCGGTCTCCGGCAGCCGCTGGGGCGGGCGGGGCCGTTAGGCCGCGGGCCTCAGTTCTGCGCCACCGGGAAACCGGGCCCCCTTCTGCCCCTCCTCCAGCTGCCTTGGGCCGGTCGTAGTCGGGAGGGGACGAAGCGGAGAGCGGCGGCCGTTGCGCGGGGCCCGGGTGGTGGGAGGCGGCGGGGAAGGCCCGGAGCAAAGGTGATCGGCGGCGGGCAGGTGAGGCCGCGGCGGCCGGTGACGGGGCAGGGCGGGAGGCGGCGAGGTGCAGGCCGGCCCCGCGGAGCCGGGGAAGGTGAGGGCAGGCAGGGGCCGGGGCTGTCAGGTGCGCCCCGTCCCGCCGGGACCGCCGCTGGAGGACTGCGGGAGGAGCGGGCTGGGGCGGCACGGCTCCTCCTGCTTCTGTTTTTCCTGCCTGACCAGCTTTTCCTCCTTCGTCCTTTTCTGTGCGTAAAACCAAACGCCTTCCCGCGGGAATCACTTGTCGTGTCAGTAGTGAAGCCTAAGCGTAGCTCTTCCTCCTCCTCCCCTCATTCCCCACCGGTAGCCGTGAGCTAATTAAGCAAGCACCCAGCATCCTCTAAACTATCCTTGAACTGTAAGTAGATCGCAGCGTCACCTAAGCTCCGGGGATTTTCCTGCTGGGGAACAGTAATCCCAGATGATTCTGCTGGTCTGCACAAGTTCAGATTTGTGAATAGTTCTGCTTTGGGCTTGGAAACCTGCCTCCCTTTACTGATTTTACTGAGGCTAGTGGTTGGCTATGGTAGTTGGCAACCAGTGTGCAAAAAATAATATTTGCGGGGAGGGCTTGGTGTCTTTTTTTGAGGTGAGGTGTTTGGTTTTGGTTGGTTTTTGGTACTACATGCTTAGAATAAATGTAGAATAATCCAATTTTTAAAGTAGATCTATTGAAAAAAAACCAAACAAGTTAAAGCCAATTGGTTTTGTTATTAATGGTTTGTTTACTCTTTTTATACTTATCATGGGTAATGAAAACTGAAACGGTCTGTTTGATGTCAATTTTTATTTGGCTTCAGGTACTACTAAACTACTAAAACCGAATTAATTTGTTGCAGTTGAAAAAAAACTTAAGGCTATTCTATTTCTTTTAGCATTATAGAATCTGCTGCTTCATACCATTTATAGTTCAGAGTGGATGGGCGAGAAGTCTTAAATATAACTGTCTGTTCTGAGAGGTGTGAGAGTTCTCAGGGTTTTACTATGCCATAAAATTTCCTACGCTCTTCTGGACTCTGAAGTTAGATAACAGATGGGATTTATGTGTACGCTATTGTCTCTCAAAAGCTGTCTTTTTGATATTTACTCAATTTCTTGCTTGTGTAAGGTTTTGTCCTTTATATCTGTTAATCTTCATAAGCTTGGCATTTTATCTTACTACTTGTGTTGTTCAGGGTACAAAGCTTCTTTTTATGTAATGTACATCAAAATAATATAATGGCTGTCCGTATGTATTTCATGTGTTAAACAAAATTGGGCAGTAATAAGCTTAAAGCATTGAGGGCTTAAACCTATAAAATCCCTGTTTACCTTTTACTTGTTTTGAATCATCAATACCTGTTTAATTCAGAGTGCATTATATTCCAGAAAACATGGTCTCTTCGCTACTTGTTTTTTAACTGGTGAAAAGAAATTCTAAAAGGCTATAGGAAATATCCAGAGAGCCTTTAATCTTTGAACTTCTTGAGACTTGCAGTGGCACATCCCTTTTAGGGGTTGGTTTCCACATGTATCTTCAATGAAAGTAATATATTATGTCACACACTTGTCAGTCAGTTACCTCATTCAAGGTGTGAATTTGCTTGGTCAATAGAAAATTACTTTTTAGAGCAATTGCAAGAATAGGATGGTTCATCTTACTAGAACTGTGCTAGATATACAAGGCCTCAATCCTCCTAATAACAAATATTTTGACAAACTTGTGGTTGTACATTGAAATCAAACACTTGAAACTGCTCAGTTGCCCATCTTGCATTTTTGGCAGATAGTGCCAAATCTGAGGAAGGGATGTTCTTGTTCTGCTTATGAAGCATCTTGCATTGCTGCCGCACATTGCATTCTTAGCACTGTGTGTTCTGAATGAGTTGGTGAATAGAAAGCATGATTAAAAGCTTTTGCGGTCCAACTGATCGCTGTTAATCCCTCAATCTGTGTGCATACCTAAATGTTCCCACTGTCAATGAAGTCCATTGTTTATGGTAATGAAGCTAAACATGCAGGGCTGGGAGCATATGTGTTACAGTGAGAAGAGTAAAAGATATCTACAGGTTGCTAAACAGAGGCAAGAGAACTCTCTTGGAAAAAACGAAATCACCAAAACCAACCAACAAACAAACCCCTCCTGTTTAGGTAAACTTTCTTGGTTTTTAAAAATGTCTTAAAATGGAACTTCGTTACTTTTACTGAGAAGGGAAGAAAAACTTTGTATATAAAAATGATGTCAGAAGCACTGGGCAGTTCAAATTCTGAGAAAAGTTTAAAGTGGGGAAAGTACAGAGCTTGCTTTTTCCTTCCCTGCCACATCCAGAATCATTAAGAACATTTCATTAAGTTAGTACCCTGCTTTTTTTTCACACCACCACTTTTATTTCCCACTTTCTGCCGCTGTATCTGAGCTATAATACTGAGGGCATTCAGCTAAGCGATGCTTTTTCTCCATCTTGATGTCATTCCTGAAATGAATGCCCTTTAATTCTGAGAGGTGATTGTCTTGGAGTGATGCTGAGACAGCTACAGACCAAGTCCACCAAAGTGTGCTGTTTCCAGAACAGAAGAACTAATTGTTAGGTTTCTCTGTCTTGATTAATAGATTATTAAGATTATAATAGATTATTATTGTAATAGATGATAATCGATTATTAATAGATTATTTTTTTTTAACTGAACTAATTTTTCCACTATATTGAAGTAGCAACTTCTATGATTTTGTTACAGATCAATCATGTCGTCCTTTCAAGAAGTTCCGTCTTCAGCGAATGCTTTGCAGACTTCCAATTTTGCACATGTGATTTTTCAAAATGTGGCAAAAAGTTATCTTCCGAACACACACCTTGAATGTCACTACACTCTGACCCAATTTATCCATCCTCATCAGAAAGACTGGGTTGGTATTTTCAAGGTAAGTAAAGCTTGTTCTATTGCAATTTCTCAGATGTTTACTGTCTTCTCTCTTATCAGTTAAAAATAAGTCTAAAAATGCCAACAACAGTAAAAGCACTCTCATAAACTAAAGTGGAACATCACTTCAGTGATGTATTGGTTCCTGCTATTAGAATGTGAGTTTTGTAACAAAGATCAGCTGGAGATCAGAACTAGAGGAATGAGTACACTGTACGTCTGCTGGGTGAAAGGGAAGGTGTGATGTAGCGGTGTCGTGCAGAATTAAATGGAGGTGATTTGAGAAGAGATGTGTGGGCACAGAGTGACACTGTGAACAGGACTGTATGAAGACCGTGAGCCAGAGTAAGTGTGAAACGTGTGTGGATAGAACAAAAAAATAAGCTGGAGGTATCCAGACCCACGTCCCTGACTCGTTGTTGCTAGAACAGGCTGAACACTAGAGACCACTAAAATTGTTCAAAACAGACCCTTGAAAAAAGGAGGAGGGCTGAAGCCACATCTAAATTGCCTCACGTTAGTGATTTGATTTATTTGGAGTTATTTTTAAAGGTTAGTAAAGTGTAAATTATGAGATTAGAAATTGATGAATTCTTACATCTGCTTGTGTTTTAGACCTAGATCTATATTTCTTTGTCAGTATAGCTCCTAGTAGGTGAAGCTTGAATTCCTTACTTAAATGGTTAATAGCAGTTTTGATTCAGGCTTTAAAGAAGTGATGCTTTGGCAGTGAGGAAGGGGGAAAGGTAACAGACTGTTTTGGTACCGGAGGACCTTTCCCTTAGAACTGTCCACTGTTTAAGAATATAAATGCTTTACTTCACTGATTGCCAATTGATTGTTAGTAGATAATGTTAGATGTTGAAGATTTGATCTTCTGCAAAATATAAGTACTATGCTCTATAACAAAGCAGAAGCATTTTTAATGCTATACACAATGACTATATGGTCACTAAATAGTGTAAAGGAGGCTTTAATTTAGAAACAGACGCATTTCTGTAGTGGGAAGCTTTTAAAAATGTATGTATATGTATCTTGATTATCGGCAAAGTTTTGACAAAAAATCAGTGTAACAGTGTGCACTTGAATGTTTAGCTAATGGCATTTGATAAAGATTAAAGTTTAACTAAACTTTATAAAGAGTGTGCTATTTGTATTACACATAAGCATTTTGGAATTATTTAAATGTAACTTGAGAAATGAACGTTGTGGCTTTGTCTGTTGACCTAAGCGAGGGAGGCAGGCAGACGGGATCCTAAAATACTAATTAGGAAAACTAAAACAACAAAAAAAAGTCACTGAAAAACTGTTTCACACCTACATGAAATGCTGTGTACAATGTACAGGTAGCTTTGATTTCATCTTGATTGTGATGGTAGATTTTTGTAAACTACTGGTATATGAATTTTTATTCTACTTTAGCAGCAGCAGGTATTACAGCTTTGGCAGTCATTTAAGGAACATGTTGAGCTGGTATGAGGTAATACTGCTGCTGAAAGAAACTTCTCCTTTTGTGCAGCGTGGCTTATTTCTTGTGCTTTCCCACCTTTATGTGAAACAAGCTCTCGTGTGATGAATCAAATCAGGGAATTGATTGAGGTTAAGACTAACATTTTGGGACCGGATCATTTTT